ATAAATTACTTGTCCATAAACTCACGATAAAAGAAATTATATATGTCAGAAGTTTGACTTTATGTTTGGAATGTTGAATTGCCAAGGATATGACGTTAAATTGTTAATAGATAATTAGTAAAGTAAAATATTTCTTATATATGTCCTATTTTAGTAGACTCTAAAGCATATTTATATGTTTTTTAATTAACAATAATTAAAACATATTGATCAAGTGTAAGTTATTTTACAAAAAAAAAAAAAAGTTATTAGAAGTTATTTTAATTATTGAATTAATAATACAAAACTCATTAAAAGTTTAATTTTAAAAAAATGTAAGTTATTTTTACAAGTTTGCCGTTAAATCGTTTGCCGTTTCCAAAAAAATGTAAATTATTTTTACAAAGTTTAATTTCAATTTATTATCTTATTAAAAGATATTTTAATTATTGAATTAATCATCCAAAACTCATTAAAACATGTATCAAATCAAATAGTGCATTATCAAAAAAAAATAAAAAAAAAAAAATAATTTCTATTTAAGTTTATATTGACAAAACGAAAGAATGATAGATGAATATATCCAGGGGTAAAAAAGGAAAAGCAGCATTAGAGAAGATTACTATATTGTGGAAACTAGATTAAAACCCGCGTTAAACGCGGGAGCATATAAAAAAACATTGAATTGTAGACTTATATTACATCATAGGAAGCATGACAATTAAAAGTAGTTTACCATAGCTATTTTAAATTCATTAACATACATTACAATAGCTATTTTAATTTCATAACAATTAAAACAATAAATAAAAAAACTAATAAATCATAGAATAATATAAAATATTAAAATAGTTCATTACAATAAAAACAACTATGTTCGAATGCAAATTAAAATATATATAATCAGTAATATCGACCTGGCATAGTCACTGTATCAAAATCAGAACGGATTGAAAAAAGTTGTTGAGAATGATGTGTCGGAACCACATACTCAATCGTATTTCCTCTAAAGAAATATAGGGTATTGTTTCTATAATCCCACCATTCATGTGCACTTTCATTGTAAGTACTATCATCTACTTTAACCCACTGATTGTGAATGAAAATCCAAATAGCCCACGAACTATCTCCACTTATAGAGAGATATCCTAATTTTCCGTGAAACTTGATTAGTCTCGATGCATACGGTTTTAATTCATTAATAGTAGAAGGTGCAAATATGAGTATATGTTCTTCAGAATAAATATCAAATCGCAATATGGTATCATTAGATAATAAGAAATATACGGCACCGCCACTTGTAACTGCCTCATCAGAGACAGGATAAACAGATGATGGTAACCGGATATTTTGAAACTCCCTCCATTGCCATGTAGTAGATGAAAACAATTCTATGTTGTAGTAATCATAGTCCACTTTTTCCGTAGGCATATCACTACAAATAAAATAACATATAAGTAAATCATAAAGTAAATTAATAACTTAAAATGTACTACATATAAACTCTTACGATGGGTTTGTATATGACAATCGAATGACCTTGAAATGTAACGGGTTCGAACTGATAACTACCAAAGCAAACTTTGTTGCAGTGTATTCAGAGGTCGGAAACGGTATCCATTTGACATCTGAAGTCGTTGGTTTGATAACAAATAAAATCTTTGAAACGTATTCATCTGGATCATAGGATTCAAAAAGAAGGAGTCCACACAATGATGATGCTAAAATAGTACAAGTATGTGGTAGCCAATTAATGTCATGATTGTTGCTACCAAAAGACGGAAGAAACTGACGCTCTATATTTCTCCATGGTTTTTTTTGTTGAACGATAATTCCACAAACCACATTATTTCTACGGTTGTAGTTATGAAGAACATAGTTGTTGTATGTTAGATTTCCATAATATGTATTTGTACAACGTACAGTAGCAAATGTTTGTAATGATGTTCGTGAAAGAATTTCAATAATTAGTTCAGAAGTCAATAACGATAACTGCAAAAGAAAGAAATAATAAGATAATAATATTAGAAAAACTTAAAATTTAATATTTGATGACATACGATTTTAATTGATAATAAGTATATTGTTTGTAGCATTGAGGGTAAAGAATTTTACCCGATCCATTTTCATTTTTTTTCCAATACATCAATGATTGTATTATTAGACGTGATCCTTGAGATAGCATAACCTTCTGTTTTGTTATTTAAATTGTCATGTGTAATTTGAATTTTGAACGCCATCTTTTTTTCCAATAGTATATTTAGAGCAGATGGATAAATTTCATTATTACCAACCTAAAAAAAAGAATGTTTATACAAATAGATATATAAAATAATAATTTTGTTTTATGTAAATGAAGTTAATATGTATAACCTTATAGAACTCATGAACCAACTCTTGTGCGTTTTTTCTTATAAGCTTCTTTGCGTCAGAATCATATAAAGTAAGTGACGCCGAACCGGTAATATCTTCAACTACAATGGTGATTTTAAAACTGAAAGCATTGATGTAAACATATTTAGTAATATAAATTTATATAATTTAACAGAACAATATAATAATATTTATAAAATACGTTTCAAAACCTGGGAACAACAGAAATGACTTTGTTTATGCAGCTTGAAGTGTTACAATAAAAAACTTCTTTATCTTGAGACTGATCATGATGGATTAAAATTTGTTTCACGACTTTCTGTTGACATCTAATACAAGTAAAACAGTACCATTCCCCTTCAGCACATACTTGCTTAATCGTACCGACAACAATTAAAGTTTTTTCCTAAAAAATGTTAATGGAAGTTTAAATTTTAGTATAAAATAATAATAATCAAGGAATAAGATATAAATAATACAAAACCAATTTCTCATAATTTATATATTGTAAATGAAAGTGATTTATATATACCTGATGTACTTGTTGGAGATCAGCAATACTATTGAAATCAAAATTATGAAGGAAATCTTCATTTTCGGAGTAGATGATCGATGACGAAGAGTTGCTACAATTAGCAATTGTGGTTTGAGCCATTTATCTGGACAAAAAACAAATATTGTTTGAAATTATATATATATATATATATATATATATATATATATATATATATATATATATATATATATATATATATAAAACCCGAATCTAAGATTGCAAAGTTACAAAGTGTAATAACACTTTCAAAGACGTCAATTTAAAAAAAATACAATTCAAAGACGTTGACTTAAAATTTAAAAACAAACAACATATATAAATATTTATATTTAATATGATATTAATGAATTAAAATTAAAAACGAAAATAACTTGTTTTTCATACGAATACATTATTAACCCTAGATATTTTAGGAACGTTGTTATTTATCACTTAAAACTTACAACCTGATTCAAAATCAATAATACAGAGAGTATAAAATGAAGACGATGAAGACAGAGTATTCAAAAGAATAAACGTACCTGATCTTGAAGATCTAATTTTGAAGAGAAAAGAAGACGTGGAGAATAACAGAAAACAGTGAAATTGGCGAAGATGACGGCAACAATAGAGGACGGAGGTTCGGAGAGTAGTATGAACGGGTGCCAGTCAGGGACTCAAAGAGTCAACAACAGGTGCAAGGCTAAGAAGATGGTGAAATCGGATACTTGGGAATGACAACTGAGAGGGATTAGTGAGGTATGTTCTAAAAGATCAAAATAATGAGTTTTTGTCCCTAATTTCGTAGATATTTACAACTGATTCGTGATATATTGTTTCCTGATTTTCATAGTTTTTGTGAGATTTCTTTCCAAATTTAAAAAAAAAATCTTCCCTAATCTTGTACATTTTTATATTTGTTTATCATCTGTATGCATGATAGCACTAAATATCAGCATCGTATCTTCAATATTATGAAGAATAAATCTCGATTTTGTACTTGAGTATGATCACGATCGCAACATTTTCCCTCAAAATCCCTGAGTAATTTCCAATCAAATCGCTATAAAATCGTTTTCATGTGACAAATTACATAATCCATCAGCAAAAGCTTCAACGCAAGTTTCGATTTTCACCAGGGGCATCATAATAAGAATTTCTTGACATCTATGTTTGTGTGATAATGCATTTGCATCACTTATTTGGTTATTTTAAAATCCTTTAACAGTAATGATATCATCTTTATTAACCCTTATGAACTAATCCTATCAAAATATAAAAGAGCTTTGAGTTTAATGTGAAAGAATCACAGGTGGTTGGAAACAATGGGGATTCAAAGGCTGAATCTCAATCACCTAAAGAAGAATTAGCTGAGGTCAGCAACCAGGTAACCGAGGTCAGCCAAGTAATCTCTTATTCTATTTCTGTTGATACTACTATCTCCAATTCTGAAAAGAATGAACTAAAGGATAATGTAATTGCTGATGATGTGAAATCAGAGGTAGATGTTAAGCCTGAAATGGTCTTAGATGATAGCAAATCAGATACCAATGTATGCTTGTTAGGGAAGAAGAAAGAGATACAGTTGGCGATACATCTGTCAAATATCATGGAAAATGGGAACTCAGACATATGATGTTCGGTGGAAATAAAGTAGGTTGTTATGTATCCATCATTTTTTTGGGGTTGTCTCTTTATAAAGTATGATGTACTTACAGGGGTAGATTGGTCATTTTATCCTAATTCCATAGGAAAGATAGATTTTCATAATTTAAACTGATATTTTGGTTAAAGTTTGATTGATTGAGTTAAATTTGAGTTGTACCATTTGTTAGTCATTTTATCTGTTGCACATGGTTTATTTTCATATGTTTTGAAGCTTATGAATGAATTTGAAAACATGGATCTGATTCGTTAGTGTAAAGGACACTTTAGGGAATGATAATTGCAGCCTTAGAGATGATGAAATTTTAGTTACATATATGTATTCTTTATTTTTTTGTAATAATGTTATGTTTCCATAATGAACCAAAAAATGAAAAGCATTTGTATAAGAACTGTTATTTTTTTTTTTTTGGTTATATGTTATATCTAAGCATGCTAACTGTTTCGATTAATGCCTCCATGTTTCCTTTGCTTTATCTGAAAAGTTAATTTTTTATTAAAAATCTAAGAGTTCAGGAAATCACTTAGATAACATGAAATGCTACTGAAATTGTCTTCAATTTGCTGGATTCTTAGTTGCTACATGGTGTTCTTTTAACTATGGGAATTTGAGTTATGCTACTGGTATTAGCGAAGGGATTGACAAAAAGATCAATTGGTTACTTTTATCTTTGGTTGATAATGGGTACTGCTCTAATAATGCTGTAAAGTGAAATTTGAATGTTTGGAGATTAATCACAGTCGAATCATTTTTTAAGGACAAAGGGGCAGTTTGGTCAAAATCTGTTTTGGTTGACTTTCAGACATTTTTTTATTTTCGTATACTTGGAGTTTGAATGACATGGATATGGCTTGGTCCCGCCATTGCATCTGTAATTGGATCGATTTGTTCAGGAAATGGTATAATGAAAATTTGATTGAAGGGTATTTATGTCAACAATGTAAAATTAAGGAAAGTTTTTTTTTGGGAGTTCGTATCTCTTTGATTCGATTTTCATTTGAAGTGGAGGTTTTTTTTTGTAGATTTCATGGGTTTTTTTTGTGGTCCTATTCTTGAATAGATTATCAATGGTAGAAGAAAAAGAAAAAAAATAAGAAAAAGAATTTTAATTGGAAATGTAGTAAGACCCCTCCTCAAAAACTATATATATATATATATATATATATATATATATATATATATATATATATATATATATATATATATTCCTTGGTCCAAAACTACTTAGTTAATCATATTATTAGCACAATATTCTTTCTGCCAGATTATCTTACTTTTTGTTCGACTTTAATTACATTTTCAGGAAAATCTCAACACAAATTGAATTTTAAAATGGCAATGAACTGTCAATACCTACTCCACAATAGCAATCTACTTCTGACTAAGAAGCACATTTCTATTTTTATGTAGGTATTCAAGGTTTGTTTGAGTTATTTAGTGTAAATATCATTCAAATAAAAAAGTTCTCAATTTATCCACCTAGTGGATATATCTACCCTTACCTAGTGAATTTTAAATGTACGTTACCAATAATATGAATTTATTTACTTATAAGAAACAAAGGAAAATAATTGTTTATTCAATAAACAATAAAGCTGTCTTTTGCAGGTTTTAGACTTTGGAGTGTTTCATATGTTTATTAAATTAAGACATTTGATTTAAGGGTGTAAAACATATAAAGAAAACACAATCAAGGACCCCGATTATCTAAGATGATATCATAAAAAACGAACATAATAAAATTAAATATGATAAAGTAACATAAAGACACGTCGTTTTATTGATTATATTGATATGTCTAAATAAATAAAAAGAAATGTATGATTATCTATAATCGTTGAAGGACCTCCTTGTACACAACATTTTTTGTTTTATTGGTTTGACGACCTTCCTCATCACATATGAGTACCTTCAAGCCTGTTTTACTTGTCACGCGAGATACAGCTACATATAACTGACCATGAGTAAAGACAGGTCTACGTAAATACAATCCAACAGTTGATAATGACTGCCCTTGACTCTTGTTAATCGTCATGGCAAAACAAACAGCTACGGGAAATTGTCTCCGCTGAAAACGGAAGGGGATTCTTTTATCAGACGGAGTTAACTTCATGCGAGGTATATAAGTAGTCTCATTGAAGAATCTACCAGCTATAATGCGTGCCTCAATGACATGTTTTCCAAGCCTAACTATTTGTAACCTTGTACCATTGCATAGACCTTTGGTTTGGTCAATATTACGAAGCAACATGACCGGAACACCTGTTTTTAATGTGAGTTTATGGTTGGGAATTCCAGATGCCTTAAAAGCATTCAGTACATCCGGAGAGTAAACTGATTCCTCAAAACAATCTGCTGACTCTGTCTCACATAAAGAATCCGAACTCAGATAAGTTTTCCCTTCGTCTTTCATCAATCCTAACATGTAGTCATTGATAGCATCAACTTCTTCATTTGTAGGAACCAAAATAGCCTTATCTTGAAAATATGATGGGTCATCAAGATGATTTTCAAAAGAAGGATAAATGGTCGATACAATTGAATGAATATGGTCACCTGTAGAGCGAATGATAACATCTTCTGGAAATTCAACTTCAGCTTCACCATCATTAGGACCACCAATATTACCTTCACCAATTTTAAGAATCCATTCTGCAAATGCTTTTGTCTCATCCAAATCATTAGTTGGACAACCAACCTGAAGCCTCATGTTTACCGTTAAACGTAAAACTGTACATTCACTCCATAATCTTGATGAATGTAACGATGCCTGCACAATATCCGAACGATTACCTCTTTGTATTACTGGAAGAATTTGTCTAAAGTCACCTCCAAATACAATGGTCTTGCCGCCAAACGCTTTATTCCTGTCAGATGAACGGATAATGTCTCTAAGCGTCCTATCAAATGCTTCAAAACAATGACGGTGCATCATCGGAGCTTCATCCCAAATGATAAGTCTCGCTTTGTTAAGTAGTGCAGCAAGATCACTGTCTGGCGCGATAGAACAAAATGAATTCTCGGTCAAGTTAATTGGGATAATAAATCTTGAATGCGCTGTCCTACCACCAGGGAGCAATAGTGCTGCAATTCCACTTGAAGCAACGTTGATAACAATTTCACCTTTGGATCTAATAGCAGCAGACAAGGTCTTCCAAACAAATGTTTTTCCGGTTCCTCCGTAACCATAAAGGAAAAAGACACCACCTTGGTTGTTGTTAACCGCATTCATAATGGTGTGATAAACATTTTTTTGCTCGACATTTAATTTGGAATACAAATCTTGATGCTCAACTTCAATAACACCAGGATCATAGTTAAGCTCATCTTGAATTAACATATTGCATGACTCTTGAATGTATCTATGATCAGGAAACGGCATATTTGGTATTTGCTTCAAACTCAATCCACAGCTCAATAATGATTTCTCGATGTATGACAAGGTAAGGTTGAAAATTGCATCCTCTTTTAACTTCAAGCCTGAAAATGCAATAGACAACGAAATTAAATATAGTTATAGCTATGTAAATGGCTTATGTTAAGACCTTTATAACGACTATAAATGATGTAATCGCGAGTTGCTTTTTTGTCAGTTTTACATGCATAATGTATAAATGATGGAAAACGAACAATTTTGTGTGAAAATGGCAAAAAAAAATTGTTGATTATGTTTTATGTCAAATTTTTTCAAAAGGTCATTTTTAAGCAATATACTTCCGTCCAAGGACCATTTGTATATGAACAATAATTGGGTTGTTTTGGAATCAAATTAAAATGTAGGGGAAAACGAAATTTTAGGGCAATTAATACAAATGCAATTCCTGGCCCTTTAAATATGACCTATTGTTAATTAGTTTGTATCCGTTTTATTTAAAGTTGAAATTAATTGATTTTCTTTTCAAGAAGAAATTAATTAGTTTGAATAAAAAAACTATAAATTAGTGTATTTACCTCTGACGCCGATTTCTTGTTCACGAACGTGAATGACATCATCAGAAAGACATTGATATGTTTCTTCAAAAACATGAGCAGGACTTGACAAACTATCTGATGTAATCAACATAACAAAGAGAGACCGGCAGAAAGAAGTTGTGGCCCAATGATGTGTTTCGTTTATTGACGAAATGTACTCTCTATCATCATCTAATAGACCAAGTGCATAGCAAGCATCTTTGTAAGAGTCATGTACAATTCCGTTAATTTTCTTGATATCTTCATAGCATGTAGGACCCTTGATTTTGTTCAGCAAAATCCGTAGGTAATAAATGTCACCAGCCTTGGGAGAAACGTGGTTTAATCGACCGAGTGCCTTGGACTTGGTTTTTCTTTTTGTCCATATCTTATCTGATTTATTCCAAACATATTTAGTTGGGAATTCAACGTATGACAACTTTCGTGCATCTTCATCATGCTTGTTACATTCCATCCAAGCTAAAAATTGAGAAGCAGCGACAGTCGGTTTAGAAACAACCTGATTAAGATGTTGGTTTGGTTTAAAAACAACAGGTTGTTTGTGTTCGAGGTGAAATGACAACCTTTCGACAGGCGGTGTTCGATAATGAATATCATACCCAAAAAGCCTCCAACATGCCTCACATGCGGAAATATAACGACAGTTATAGAACTCACCAATTTCGTCATGGTCGTTATTTTCTATTTGTTGTTTTTTCTTTTTTGTTGGATCAACAATAGATGCTGTTATCCTATCCGGTCCTTTGTTAATATACTTAAAAAGATACTTTATCGATCCAACTTGGTTACACCACTCTAGATTCATGTGAGCTTGATATTGTTTCATAAGGATCTTATTATATGGAACAACATTCCTGAAAAATCAAGAAAAATGTCATAAACAACATTAAATGATAATTTGAAGTTAACATAGGAAGAACATAAGAAAACATATATAATGAGTAATATGTTTTTATAGATTACATTATCCGTTTAAAAATAAAATATTAGTACCATTTTAATTTAAGTTGTTTATTGATATTTATGTATTTAAACATATAATAATATATTTCATAAAAAGGAAACAAATTTAAGGAATTAAAATTTAGTAAATCATTCAAAAGGATTTGTGTATACCTGTTGTCTAAAGAAACACCTTTTTTAAGGACATTATTTCCATCGTTACGTCTCCGGTAAATAGGATAACCATCTTCATCAATATACGTATGATCGGTATATTCCCTTGGAAATCGTTTTGAACATTTGCCTTTTTTCATACACGGCATAAATGGTTGATCGTTGCCACAAGGTCCGTGTATCATGTTATCACAAACAATCTGATACAAATCGGGTTCACTATCCTTGTCTGGCAATTCAGCACATATAACACGGTCTATGTCTTCAGGATTTGGAATTTTAGAATTTTTTTCCAAAAACAGACATACATGACAATGGGCAGGCCCCTCTTTTGAAACTCAATCGTATATACAACTGTGTGAGCAAAGAAAGCAACCAGGGTTAAAAGATAAAATTATCAAAAAGTTATAATCTTAATGAGTAAAAAATATATAAGATTGATACCTCCAGCGACTTCACCCAAAGTTTTTTCATCCTTCAACTGACTGATTAATGAATCAAGTTTAATTTTGAAAATTCGTGTCAGAATATCTGGCATGTCTTCCGGTTTAAGATTCTCGGCTTCAACAAATCTAATGACTTCTGGCCATTTAGGATTACATGTAAGGGTTAAAAAAAGATCTGGATAACCAAACCACTTAACCAGAGTCATCGCATCTAAGTAGTTTTGTTGCATGTAACGGCTGCCGCCAGTAAAAGAAGATGGTATAATAATACGGTTTCCCATCAAAGAAGCATCTTCAATGCCATCTTCAGCTGCCTGGGCCAAGTTGCGATAAGGTGCCACGCGTAATGTTGGCTGGTTAAACCTAATATATCTAAGTCGTTCATTTTCAAACTTTGTATACGAATCAACCAAAAACTGTTGGAATAGTTTTCTTGAACGTAATATCAATGATATTTCATCGGTTCTCTGTTGTATACGATAAGCAAAAAATTCACGCATGGTCAACCTTATATAACACTAATGGAGTTATATAATATAGGGTATTAACACACTCACATGATTTGAATCTGTTTTGAACCTCATGATCTGTATCATATATGTACAACTGGCAAAATCTGGGTGATTCACCCTCTTCGGGAAGTAAGCTGCCTGCAATATGATAATTTTGGCCATGCATTCGATAAACATAAGGACCACCTCCTGAGTTAACGGTGTGATCAATCTTTCCAGCCATAGATGTGAATGCGAACATCATATTGTATCGACGTATATTCTGTATAAAGTTTTGACTTTTTTCCGAAAGACCGCTATATAAATCAATCAACAACTGAGGTGGGTGAATCAGACTGGGTAGTTCAACTTTTCCATTGTAACAACAAATGGAATAACATGTTTTCTTTAAATCCTTATTTCCTCGAATTGCTTCTCCCTGCCACACCTTAGCTTTACATACTGAGCAAACATATATAGCATCTCCAGAATCCAAATAATCTATAAATAAATAAACAAATTTACGAAATTATATTTGTGGTATGCTTTAAATGTAATAGGGTAACGACATTTTATTTGTCATGACAAATAATTTGTGGTGTGGATATAATACCTTTGCTTATTCCGATATATTTAGTATGATTGTTACCGGTTACATCATTCTGAGCATTTGAAGTAGAAGGAATACATATTTGTGTCTTCTTTTTTGTAGAAATTGGTCTGCCTCTTTTTTTCTTTTCTTTATAGTTAACGCTGGTACCAACTGAAAAATGTGTGACTGTATGTATGAATAAAATATATAATAACACAACTGAATGATGAAGTTGATCATTATTAATAGATAAACGATCAAGTTGAACAATATGGGTACCTGAAGGTTCAACGACATCTTCATTCAACTCAAAAAATGGAATATCTTGTGTATTAAATCGTTTCCGTTTCGTTGTTGTTGAATGAGTTGTGTTGTGCTGAATTGTATCTTGGTTGTTGGAAAAGTCTGGAGGTAATTCGGTAAACTTTTGAGCAACTCGACAATTAGGGGGTACGAAGAAACTATTTTCTGAAAAATGAAAATTTGTATGATAATATAGCGAAATATATAAATAAAATATATGAATTTAATACACATAAGCAAATAAAAAAACAAAAAATGCAATACAAAAGAGACATAACATATAACAAAATGTACCTTTGTGAGAATTTCTTTGTATTGTCTGAGATGATGGTGTTTTCAAAGCATTCGATGAAGAGGGTGAATGAACTAAAGAGGAAAAGTATATATAAACATTAAATTAAATAAGATATTAAAGGAAAAATATAGTTAGCCAAATTAGATATTATAGACCTATATGTATTAAAAAAGATAGTTATACAAATTAGATATTATAGACATATATGTATTAAAAATTAAATGTTAAAAGTTTATATATTGGGAAGTTAAAATTGACGTTATATGATTTAAGAAGTGGATGTAAATATAATATAAAAGAAATTAAGAATACTTTACCTTGATTTGTTAGGTGTGAAAGTGGCGATCTTGGGGAAATAAATGTGGATTGAACATTCGGTTGTATGATGTTATGAGACGAGGTAGCCTTAGGTAATTCGGAAAGGTTTCGAGCAACTCGACAATTAGGTGGTATGAAAAAATTATTTTCTGAAATGAAGATTCGTATCATAAACGGAGGAGAAATATTAAAAAATATTAATAGTACAACAGATAAGCAAATATAAAAACGAAAGTGTAATATAAAAGATGCATAACATATAAGAATATGTACCTTTGTGGGATATTGTTTGTAATGTTGAATGTGATGATGGTTTTAGAGCATTGGATGAAGATGATGCATTCACTAAGGAACAATGGTATGTATATCAAAATATCATATGAAATATAAAGAGAAATGAGTTATACAAATTGAACATTATAAACATTCAAGCACTTCAAATACAAACAGAATGCTTAAATATGAATCTTACCATTTGTGATGTCAGACAGTGGTGTTGTTGGGGAAGTGTTGTTGGGTGACACATTAGTAACAAACCTTGTAGGTTTTTTCTTTCCCGAAGCATTTGAAATGTCAGTCATTTCAATATGTTTGATAATTTTTACGTTCTTAGTCATATATCTGTATATATATATATATATATATATATATATATATATATATATATATATATATATATAGTGATGATGGTGATTTCTAACACTTTAAATAAGGGAACTGGATATTTGAAAGGTTTAAATTTGGTAAAAAATTAATATTGCATATAATTAAATAAAGTAATGAAATATTAGGGAACTGGATATTTGAAAGGTTTAAATTTGGTAAAAAATTAATATTGCATATAATTAAATAAAGTAATGAAATATTAGTTGGGTTTAACTTAGGTAAAAAATAAAGTCTTCATATAATTATGGAGGGAATAAATGCAGTATAGAAAAATTGATTTTGATTACATATTCCATGATTTTATTCTGTTACCATATGAAAACGATGCATATTTATGAAAATAAAATTTAAATTTGACTTTAACAAATAAAAGTAGGTGAAATATCATATATAATAAAAATATAAATATATCAATATATATATATATATATATATATATATATATATATATATATATATATATTTAAATTAGGTAACTGAATATTAGAATGATTTAAATTAGGTAAAAAGTAAAGCATGCATATAATTATGGTAGGAATAAATAAAATATAGATGACATGTATTTTGAATACTTAGACTATGATTTTATTCTGTTACCATATGTAAACGATGTATATTTATGCAAATAAAATTTAAATTCCATTTAGACAAATAAAAGTAGGTGAATTAGCATATATAAAAAAAATTCTTAATTTTCGTGTGTGTGTGTGTCTGTGTGTGTGTGTGTATATATATATATATATATATATATATATATATATATAATAAATTTATAAAATCAAATGATGAATGAAAGAAAAAAGAAAGAAAATATGCATTAAATCAAAAGAGTTCAATAACTTGAAATTGTCATAACCTCCAATTGTATCATTGTGTACACACCAAATAAAAACTCAATAAAATTTTAAAAACAACCAAAAGATCAATAAACAGAGAATTAAATATGCGACACACAAAAGATTAAAAAGAAAATGTCTATAAACATATCGAAGATGATATGTAAAATTTTGATGGGCGGCTTGATATTAGTCCAACTTTTCCAACTTTGGGATCTTCAAGGTATCCCGTACAACACAAGTTTTTGAAGAAGACCACTCCAAAGAGTCAGCGTTGGCATCAATCTCAATAGGGCGCTTCCCCGTACTCGATGATGGTGTTACAGCTTCAAGGTCAACAACATCAAGATTGTCATCATGCACAGAATTAGTATTTTCCTGCAGAAAACAGAAAATAATAAATATCGATCAAGAAAAATATAAAACAAAACATACCATATTTGCATAAAGTCATGAAAAATGAAAGAAAAATATATTGAAGAGAGGGCACAGGGTTTGACTTTGGAAATATATGAGACAGTTACCAACCTTATTTGACTTGTTAATAGGAGTACCATTATCATTTATATTATCATGTTGATGATTTGGTGACCGTTTTGTCACCTCAGCAAGAACCCTTTCATCATCGGTTAACTTATGCACAGTGTAAGCACGATAGTTGTTCTGCAGATTGAACATGGAAATCTGAACTTTGAAGACAAACTTCTTATTTAGAAGAATTTTGAACTCATCAGGTATCTGTTGTCGCCCTTGATCCTAATTTACATTATAAAATGGTTGGAAAAGTTAAAGAAGAAAAATCATATATGTCAATCATTTAAATAACGGAGATATTTTATGAAACCTTAGCTATTTTGTCCATCAACCATTGGTTTCCACGATGAATAAGATCTTTTACATGACGCTCAAACAATACAAACGAAGAAGAGCCACTTTCATCTTGCACACGAACTACTATCCTAATCCTAAAAATTATAACATAATACTTATATTTAGCTTGACATACACAATGAAATATATGAAAAATGTAAAATACATGCATAGTCAAAGAGATAATAATTACTTACTTTCCAAATACATCCGAGACAAATCCACAACCATCACAGTGAAAAGGGCCAGCATCAACATCATCATCATTTTTAGTAACCTTTTTAGAACAATCACGGCAATAAAATGAATACCAACCATCATCCATATCAAAACCAATGATAGTAGCGATAATGGTTAAACCAACTTCCTGTTTCATATATAGGAAAAAAAAGGAATCATATTAAAATATTATTTCATATAAATTGTAGATATAAAATCAAAACAATAATAGAATGCGGAAACTGTTATATAAAAATGTTAAGTAAACCTCATTAAAATCAGGAATTTCATCAATGTTTTTTATCTGAAAACGGAGGTAGTAATCCTCTGGATTAGCCACAACGGTATCTGAGTTGAGCTGGGATGTACGGCTAGAAGACTCAACATTCGTATCCAAAGCATTAAGACTACATAAACAAAAAAGTGATGTTATTCAACAAAAGTAATGATTTAGTAAGATAAATGTGTTAAAAATGGTAAATAACATACTTTGATTTGAACTCCAAAATCTGAGGCATGTCATCATTTATATGCAATCTAGACCCAAACAAACAATTACCAACTTGAGGCTGACCTGCAAGAAAAAAGTAAAATAATATTGTCAGTAATTACTTTGAAGTTGAAATGATAATTTGTTGTAAAAAACACTTACCACCCCAAATTTTGAGTTTGGCCAAACGTAGCAGGATAATAACAGGAGCAGTGTCATTATTATGTTGTGAAATGTAAGTATTCAGCTTCATTGCAAAACTGCCCCACAAAGCGACTGCAATTCTCGTACCACTAAATATGCATGGTGGTTATTAATGAAAGATAAATATAAACGGGGGAATGTGTAATAATAATACGAATGTGTACCTTAAATCCTGAGCAACCAGATTCATTAACCTTTTCTCTCTTCCATACTCAACAATGACTCGCATGGGATCAGTTGACACAACTTCACCTAGAAAATCTATGTGAAAAAATTTAATAAATTAGTAATAATAATCCAAATGTGTATTACATTAAAAATTGAAGTATAGAAATAAGTTAAACTAACAACATAACATACCAAATGCAACACGAGTGTCAAAGTTCCTGGCTAGCAAATCTGGGAAAGAGATAAAATGATAAGGATCTACTGTATCAACAAAATCATTGGATACACGAACTTTTGTGGTTTTGTAGAAATTGATTTTATGTTTATGAGGGACAAGCATGTATTCGCTTTCATTGCTAGCCATAGCGAAGTTACTGATCTCCCGGACAGCTCCTTCATCGAATAGGGATTCAAATACAGGAATAAGATTTTTTTTATTGTTGCTTGAATTCTACTTCCCTGTAGGTGACAATGAAAGATAAAAAAGTGTAAAAAAAATATTAAAAAAAAGGAACAATAAGAGATTTCATTACATAGACTAAAGTTTATTTTTAAAAATAATACAGTTGATTATTAAAATTGTTAAAATTGTATGAATAGAAGTAAAAAAGCATAACAAAAATCGAATTTCAATTTTTTTGAATAGAGATAACATAAGAAATTGATAATCTAAAAAACAAATGGTGTAAAAACAGTACCTCCTGGTCAATTAAAATCATGTCCAGGCTTGCGACCATATTAGGATTGTTTATATAGGTCGGCTTCCAAAGCATGACGACTTTAACACGTATGTTCCAAGACTCTTTAGATGCGTTGATTTCAGCAACCTTATCAAAGACGACCTGATCTGCATTGTTAGATGCCATGGAATACTATTATCTGCAATGGAAGGGGATAATTGGTTAGAGAGAATTTTGATTTGTAATGAAAAATCGTAGACAGTATATTTATAGGGAAAAATAAATTTGGTTAATGCTGATATCACATAAAGATTTTGGAATGTAATATCATTTCCATACTTAAGATATGTTTTAATTATGGTATGATATCCAAAATAATATCAATATACCATGTCTAATATAAGGAAATTATATAATAAATATACAATATTTTCATAAATATGGTATGATATCGAAAATAATATCAATATAAGATGGTTAATATATTTTTACAAAATATAGGAAAATATAAATTTGGTTAACGCTGATATGACATAAAGATTCTGGAATGTAATATCATTTCCATACTTAAAAGATGTTTTATATATGGTATGATATCCAAAATAATATCAGTATACCATGTCAAATATAAGTAGAAAATAGATAAAATCATACTATCTTTTAAAATATAATAATTACCATATAAAAAACTGTAAATTTGAAAAGCTTGTAGAATAAGGAAAAAATAAATAAAATCATACCATATTTAAGATAATATTTACCATATAAAAAACTGTAAATTTGAAAAGCTTGTAGAATAAGAAAAAAATAAATAAAATCATACCATATTTAAGATAATATTTACCATATAAAAAACTGTAAATTTGAAAAGCTTGTAGAATAAGGAAATTATAGAATAAATATACAATATTTTCATAAATTTCGACAAAATTACTAAAATGCCCCTAATCGATTAAGTGCTTACAGCATCTTAAATTGTCATATTGAATAGAATAAATGAAGCTATAGGAACAATAACAATATAGTGTAATCATATTTAAAAATTACGTATTTATAAATTTAAAAAAATAGATGGTAAAGTGTTGATAGACCATACATAACAGTTATAAATATTGAGACTCTTTGACATGTAAATTTGAAAAGCTTGTAGAATAAGGAAAAAATATAATAAATATATAATATTTTAATAAACTTCGACAAAATTACTAAAATGCCCCTGATCGATTAAGTGCTTACAGCATCTTAAATTGTCATATTGAATAGTATAAATGAAGTTATAGCAACAATAACAGTATAGTGTAATCATATTTAATACATTACATATTTATAAATTTAAAAACATGGGTGGTAAAGTGTTGATAGACCATACATAACAGTTATAAATATTGAGACTCTTTGACATGTGTAATCTAATTTATCTTTTAAATATTGAGACTCTTTGCCCGAATATTCACATGTAGCCTCCTGCCCTTCTTTATGGTAACAATTTGATTTCTGAATTGCTCTGTATGGATAAAGTGTTGTATACATGAACAATAAACATCTCTTTGAAAACATTTGAGAAAGAGGCATAGTTAATTAATTACATCATACAAGTTGAGGTTGTAACCACATAAGCAACACCAGTCCCAAAGAAGTTAAGAAACTGAAGCCAACCACATAGCAACGCCTGTTTTTCACCTGTTGACCGAATAATACTACTTAAATGTAGAAACTACGTACAAATATGTACATGAAAGATTAGACTGCAGTGATGATGTAAGCAACTGTACTCCATAGTGTTCCTGAATCCAAGGAAATTAATCTATCCAGAGTTATGATTTGTTTGATTGAAAATGGATTTGGAAAAACACAAAAGGGTGTTTGACTTTGGATTAACCTGTTCTTATTGTGTTGTTGTGATCATTGGTGGCAGAAACTCCATGGATGAGTTCTTGTTCAACTGTTACTTATATGATATATATCGAAATCAAAATCAACATGGAGTAAAACAGAAACCCAAACACAAAAAGAGGAGAAGAAATTGAAGATCAAACGGAGCAAACCAGTGAGCTTTAAAGAAGATAACCCCAACATGGGAGTTTATGATGCCCATGCCCAGGTGTCGGCTTAACATCATTCTGTTCTTGTACCACTTCTTCATCAGATGCTTTTGCTGATGCATTTCCAAACCTGTAGATTACATGACATATCTTTTCTTTAAAAAAACATGTGTTTCATATATCGATACATAAAATAAGAACTTGCCTTTCTATAGAATCGAAAATTTACTCCAATGAATTACTAAGGGATGCCAACAATATAAGTTTGTTGTTAACACCAATTAAAGACTCCTGAAAGAAGAGATATCTTATCTTATTGTAATCTTCTATAAAACAATAACTTAAATTTTTAAAAGGAATAATAAGACAGATCACAGACCTGTTTGATTGGCCTTAGTTTCATGACAAGAGCACTGATTTCCAATTCAAACCCATCAGATTCAGCATCAGCAATATGGTTATCTTCACTGGCATGAGCATGAGCAAGTGAAGTTCGGCTGTCGAATGAAATTGGTCATTTAGCGTAGATATCAACAAAAGGTGGAAATGGAAATAATTTGAAGAAATAGCTGCAGGATTTCTTGAAATTATAATTACAAGTAAATTATGCCAAAAATAGAGATTATGGAGAAAGTGAGAAAAAGCAAAACCTGGATAATAAGGCCGAGGCCAAGAAGGAGACTGAAATTCTTCTTGAGAAAATCGACATCTTTCTTTACAACTTGTACGAAATGCCCAAAGCTTCTCCCAAATAGAGAAAAGAACATTCTTCTAGGTTTTCATAAGTCACAAAGAAAAAAACCCTAATAAGTCTTGTCTCCATTAAATCCATTAAATAAAAAAGATACAATATTTGAATTTTCAATACCTTGAGACAAAATCGAGAAGATACATCTTGATCAAATACTCCCAATGCAATGACAGGAAGCGATGTGAAGAAGACATTGTAAAGAGACAAATACCAATCATTATACGCAGGTTGAGCTGAGAATGATGCATAAGCTTCATACAAGAAAATCGTGGTTCCAAATACGATGTTTTTATAGAAAAAATAGCATATCTGCAAAAATTAAACCAACAAAATCAATCAAATATTCAATATACGACATACCCTTGTGCATCAAATTTGGGGATTTTTTTTTACAGAATTCTTAACATTGAAGAAATTCTTCGGTAAGACCAATGTCCATGGACTAATAGCAATTGTTCCAAAAACCGGATTGAGCAATTGAGATGTCGCTCGACATAACCGCCTGCATTCCCTCAACTCCACTGATTCCGATTCCGATGTCGGCTTCTTGAATCATTCCGACATCGTTAGCTCCATCGCCGATTGCTAATGTCGTCTTTCCGGTTCCCTCTTTAACAAGTCGTGTAACCAATGCCTTTTGTTTTGGTGATGAACGACAAATGGTCGACGCAGAGAGTTGATGGGGAATCGGGAACGATGGGTGGAAAAGAAACTGATGGTCAAAAATCGTTGATGGTTGACGCGGTGCCCCTCAGGAATTCCTGGGGTTACGCATAGGATCGATTCCATTTCATTATTTAGTAGAACGCATAGGATCGATTCCATGTATAGATGAAATCAATGGGGTTATGCATATCGGCAGAAGGAAGGAGAAGGAAGGGGTTAGGGTTCATATCTATTGAGTTTCAGGGGAGCTGATTGTGTTGATTGTTTAGAGAGAAAACATAAGAATGAAGGAAAGAATCGTAAGAAGGAAGTTTTATTCGGGAGGCGCGTGTATTATGCTGGGTCAGGATGATGTCAGCAAAATGATCCTAAGGTGGAGACTAAAGAAGGGAAATGCAATCAAGGGTTGATGTTTCTTCAATGAAGAATTTAAGGTTTTGTTTTAGTAATATTTAGAGATTAGGTAAGTGACAACATCAAAATATATTTAGCTCAATTAAGAGTTTTCTTCTTCTTTCTTTTTTACAAAGAATGAAAGAATGTTCTATCGTAATGTTGTCTTAGTTTGTGCTATAAAAATCCAAAGTGATCCTTGATCATATCTTTCCAGTCATTTTTGGATATCAATGTGCCACCTTAATAATTAGTCGGTTTCAGGTAGGTTCAAGTGTTATTTTCAGTTTTTCACTACTTATATATCACTTACATTGACTTCTATTGCTTCAACAAACCTTAATTGGCATGGGGAAGGTTCTTTGACGATCATGAAAGTCTCTAAATTAATTGGCATATATATACCTCAATTTTCTTTGCTTTGCTTTCTTTTTTGGTTTTCTGGATTTCTGGATCACTCTTCATGTCTTTGTTAATGACTTATCAACAACACCGACGGTAGCTTAGATTATCGGTCTCTTGGAATGGAGTAATAAGGAACCATTATTTATTGTTTAGATAAGAGGCTTTATTCAAAAAATAATAATAATAAATAAAATAATATATATATATATATATATATATAGATATATATATTATATATATATATATATATATATATAATATATATATATATATATATATATATATAAACAACAACAACAACAACTGGTGAATTTTTCTCTCTTAAGTTGTTTTGAGCTTTCTTTATTTTCATATGACGGGTACGTATAACAAAGAAGATTGTCAACTATTTTAACTTTCAATTAAAGTTTGCTACTTTAGTTATACAAACCTTCAACCAAATTTGTTGTGTTTTCTAGATTGATGATTTTAGCTATTAATTCCAGTTTGCTACTTTTCCTGCTAACTCATCTCATGTTTGTTTACATTAATTATAGCTATATAGCTATATATAACCACAAGTTCTTGCAGATTTGACGCTACTTTTACTATATACTAAGCACGGTTAATTGTTTTTTTACGAGATCAACGGATCTTGATCATCTATCAAGGCTAATAATCATCCCATCGAATGTTGTTAAAAACATTTCTGAAAAAATGAAACACAATAATAGTTTATAGTTCTTAACATGCTCTTTTACTATATACAAAGCACGGTTAATTGGCTTTTTACGAGATCAACGGATCTTGATCATCTATCAAGGCTAATAATCATCCCATCAAGTGTTGTTAAAAACATTTGTAAAAACGTAAATGTGAAATGAAACACAATAATAGTTTATAATTTATAGTTCTTAATTAAATGTTAGAAACCTTTTATAACTATACTTCTTGCAAAAGAAATATTTAGGGTCGGTCGTTCATTTCTCTTTGTAACACTAGTACATAACTCATTTAATAGTTTGATGCCTTTTTTTGGTGTCGTCTACTTTAAAAACCGCATTATATTAAATACACGTCGTATAAAAAAAGGAGAACCTTATTATATATTTTTACAAAGTTATTATTTGGTGTGACTTGTTGTAAAACACACCATTTAACTATGATTTTTTGGTGCGATGTTTTGAAAAACGCACCATTTAATCATCCCTCTAAAAAATTCGTTCAAAATTTTCATTTCGTGTGAGATCCCTCTATTGATGATTTTAGTGTTATCAACATATTTTTGTGTAATTATTATTTATAATGAGCTATGTCGGGCTCACTTTACTAACCGAGATAGGAGGTGCGGGGTGCACACTCGGAATGACAAATGTGAATTCGAGAATACGAGCGTCCGGGAGCAGTGCCCCTGGATGCACACGGGGTCTAGGGGCAGCGCCCCTAGCAGGGTCCAAGGAACAGAGCCCCTGACAGTGGTTCCGATGACCGTTTAGCGGACGGGGTTCCAAGAGGCAGCGCCCCCGGCAGGGCTCGGGGTAGCTGATGACATCTTGATGATGCAAGCGTTAGTTATGTCTAACTACCAGTTTTGGTGCCAAATCTCGAGGCAATTTTATACTCTCAAAATCTGATTTTAAGATGTGTTCTATCTCTCAAGAACACATCAACAAGTATTTTGTGTTTCACAATCTGAATTAGATCTGTAATTCAGATTGGTTCAATATTGGATTATCTCACTTCTGAATTCGTGAACCCCGGGCAAAAGGGACGAATTATAGATATCGGAAAGTGTTTGAACACGATCCTTAAATCTATCCAAGTCCATATTGTGACATCCCCAATTACACGACCAGAAAATACCAATTTGTTTATGCTTTATTTGAAAATCAGAGTATTTTTTTAAAGAAATATATTACCGAATTTGTTCCAAAAAATATGATAAAGAATTTATCAAAGCATTTCCGAAGAAATGTATTATATTAAAAACCTCGAGATATCATTGTTAATACAGATCAAAAGCATAAACATAAACAACATAGGCCATATAATATCTATTTATTCTAGTGGCCTATAATCCATTGATCTCTCATCAGATCATCACTCTTGTGCTCTCTTTCCACTACTTGTATACGAGAAAACTGAGTGGGTCAGGCTTGGGAGTCTGGTGAGCACATAGGGTTTTCAACCCACAATAATTAAATTCATTAATTTCATCAAATCAATCAACCCGATTACCCATTCACGTTATCCTCACTTTACATCCCTAAAGCATCTATTATAGGGGACCTAGCCTAAGGATTTTCATCAGGGTGAACAACACTGCTCAGGGGATTCCATAGCAATTTATGTCAAATAAGGAAACCATGAGGGGGATGGAGTACACCTAGTGAACACGTAGTTCAAATAAACACCTACAGGTTGCGAGCCTGCCAGCATTCCACTGGACTGTCTAGAATAGTCTGTGGTCGTTATCTATACTCCGCTAGATGACTGGATCATCTTAAACATTGAGGCCTCTCATCATTTTATCACACATCAACTATTTCATCTACTCATGTTTTACCCAACCATTTCGTAGATATAAAATACATATACAGTTTAAATCATTTAAAACATGTATAAATCGTTCATCCAACATAGATATCAAGAACACAGATAATATGCACACATAACACGTAATTTATATTAAATACTTCATATCTATGTGTAAGATGAAAGTAACTATGCACTCACTTTAGTAGCGTGATTTGATAGAATCTAACTAGAAACAGTCAGCGGTTCGTGATCGTCGGGCTCGGGAAGGAAAATGGCCTTCGGCAAATGAGAGAGAGAAAGAAGATTTGGTGTAAAGAATGAATGGGTCGAACTTGCTATTTATAGGTTGTTTTTGGCCATCTCGCGTCGTGAGAATCAATGCTCACATCGTGAGCCATGGCTGATCACCTCGTAGACTTGTCATTTGCGTTTCTAGCTTCGGAAGGTGTCCGTTTTACTCCTCACGTCGTGAGAAAACATGCCCATGTCGTGAGCCCTAAACTTATCACTCCGTAGACTTGCCATCTGCATTCTAGCCTTAAAAAGTGTCTATTTGACTCCTCACATCGTGAGAAACCATGCTCACATCGTGAGCCCTGACAAATTAGGGTTTCTGCCACGTGTCATGCTCTCAGACAACTACATCTTCGGAAGGTCATAACTTTTGTCACACCCCAAAACCAAGGATGGCGGAAACGTCCGGGGGTGGCGGACTTCATGTATAGTATCATAAACAACGAGTATAGTAGTGACCAAAGCAAACACAACCATCATAAATATAATTGAAAAAGTTACACCATAATATGAGTTTACATGTTTCAAAATCAATTACACTATGATGACAAAATGAACTGTTTGACGCCTTGGCGTCCCATCCTCAAAAGTTGCGGGTTACCCGTTTTATTGATTTCCTGAGAATACAAGTAGTTTCAAAAAAGTGTCAACAATTAAGTTGGTGAGTTCATAAGCTTTTTGATGTAGAGTTTGAAAACCTTTGTTTGTAAATGTAATGTATACCCAAGAAAAATCCAATATTTTCCTTATAAAATGATATGTAGTCTTAAATCCCAAGACCGAATGTATGTGTGTGTTTCGTACTTGTAACGAAGTATGCAGTTTTAAATAGATAAAAACCCCCTTTTTAAAGTAGAATTTCCCGTAAACTTTAAGTGTTGTTAACTCCCTATGTGAGTCGCTATAACCATACTATAACTAGATGAACCTGCTACAACGTTTTTCAGACGTCAGAATGTTATGACATTTGTCAACCGTAGACCTGCAGGTCCCACTGTAGCTAGCAGCAAGGTGTGGGTTGTCAATCCCAATATAGATCTATATACAATTATCACGCTCTCCCTACAAGAGACCCTGGTTATAACTTACATGAATTTTAACCCGTACTCTAAGAGTACAATGAAGAATTGTCTCACAATTAACGTTAATGAGTTTACGTGTGGTTTGAATGTAAAACCTTTTTTGTGGTGGAAGTAAATCCACTTTTATGTAGTATGTTTGTAATGTAAAATCCATAAACTATACCTATTATAGTTTATTTTACGTGTTCGAAGTGAATGAAAACCCTTATCATGAATGACTAATTTCTGTTTATGATGTTAAACTAACAAGAAATACATTCAACATTTAGAAACTTATTGTATACACTTTGCTCAACATGTTACAAAGTGTTGTTAATATTGTAAGCTGTTTAACTAGTTTTTAACTTTTCTGCACTGTTTTAGAAAAATCACAGAAAAATCATACGAAGTCGAAAACTGAATCTGTAAACTCTAAGAGTTTAGAAAATGTGTCTAGTTTGTTCATAATTTCTATTATGATTTTTATAAGTCTATAACTTGTGTGAAAATGTTCAACTTCACAGACTGGTCTAAAGTTGTTTTTGAAATGATAGGCAGTTTTGTAAAAATCGCCATAAATTGTAGAAAAATAGTATAAACATGTGCAAGTAGTCATTAGAAAGGTATAAACCTGAACTATTTGCACCTTGTACAGTTTTGAAAACTAAAGAGTTTAAGATGTTCAAAACAGTCTGTGAATGGAACTAAACTTTCCTGTTGAAAGCTGATGTTTGAGTTTAGTTAAGTTTTTGGTGTTATAACTTGTATCCCCCCCCTAAAACTTGAAGAATACATTAAATTGTAGGGTTATGAACTCACCTTGAGTGATTTCTTGGGATGGATGTTGAAGAAAAGAAGTTTCCAAATCAAGAACACTTGGAAGATGCTTGAAGATTTGAAGACCCTAAGAACAAATATGACGATATTTGTATGAGAGATCCATGATTCGAGTGAAGGAGAGTAGAATTTTCAAGAATAGGATGATGATACTTACCAAAAGTGGAGAAGAGGCTTACGATCAGCCTTGAAATCTCGAGTTATTGTAGAGAGAGAAGGTGAGAGAGAAGTGTGTTAGCTTTTGGTGGAAGTGAATGAG